TGGGGGTAAAGGTGGGTAGGGGTGAAGTTGTTAGAGATTAGGAAGGGTAGAGATTGGGGCAGGGTAGGGAGAATTAGAGATTAGGAGGAGGGAGGGGAGGGTAGAGATGAGATTGGGGAAGGAGGAGGGGAGGGGGAGGATTGAGAGATGAGGGTAGGGTCAAAAGGTGATAAGATGGAGTAGAGATTGGGGTGGGGAAGGGTAGAGGGTGGGGTGGGGTATGGTAGGGAGTGGGGAGGAGGGAAGGAGTAGGGTGGGGAAGGAGAGGGGGAGGGTGGGAATTAGGGGTGTAGGGTAGGGTGGGGTGGGAGTAGGGTGGGGAGTGGGAGTAGGGAAGGAGGGGGGGAGGGTGGTGGGGCAGGGTAGGGTGGGGAGTAAGGTAGGGTAGGGAAGGAGAGGGGAGGGTAGGGTAGGGTAGGGTTAGGTAGGTGAGGGTAGGGCAGGGTGAGGGTAGGGTAGGGAGAGGTGAGGTTAGATCAGGTTAGGTTTACGTCTCATTACTTGGGTTCAGTCAAATCAATATAATCCACCTGCCTTTTCTGACCTAACCGATGAATTTCTTTCCTCATGAGTTACTGCCGTCTTCAACACCTTTCTCAATACACCACAGCACAACAATACCAACACTAACCAACACTAACCAACACCAACCAACACTAACCAACACTAACCAACACTAACCAACACCAACCAACACCACTCAACACTAACCAACACCACTCAACACCAACCAACACTAACCAACACCACTCAACACCACTCAACACCAACCAACACCACTCAACACCACTCAACACCAGCCAACACCAACCAACACTGAAGAATTATTCAAATCTTCTCAATCACTTCAACTCAAACTGCTTCACCAAACTCCCGTCTCCCAACAACTCATTTATCAGCTCATCGCACAATGCACATTATTCTAGGTCGTTGCTCTTCATCTTCTCTTAGTCTATTGGGCCACAAAATTATACATAAGACGAGATTATTTACACCCAAAGGAGAAATCTCTCACGGTTCGACTGCATTTCACACAAGCACAGTCATCTCTTATCACTTTCAGCATCCATTATGAGAGAGAGAGAGAGAGAGAGAGAGAGAGAGAGAGAGAGAGAGAGAGAGATAATTACGTACATTTCACTCTTCATAAAACTTATTTTTCTACAACACTCGTAAGCTTAATAAGTTTATTCTCTTGGTGATTACAACTAGAATACTCCTGTTAACGCCAAGAATGTTAATCCAGTTAAACAATGAACAAAAATTATTTATATCTGAACTTAAGAAACATTAAATTCGGAGGCCACGAGTCTGGGGGAAGTTTTAAGCTTCGGTCAGTGAGTTCTAGTAATATTTTCTGGGCCATAATTCACCTTAAGTTTCTTTTATCGCTTATTGGTCCGGTCTTGTTAAAATCAGACGTTGTGTAGTGTGTCATAATAATAATAATAATAATAATAATAATAATAATAATAATAATAATAATAATAATAATAATAATAATAATAATAAAAATAATAATACGAACAGTAATGACAAAAATAATAATTCAGTAAAATCGTTCTACACGTTCACAATTAGTGTGGCTTGCATAGTCTACAGTATAGACAATGCAGGTATACAGCTCAACGTGTGTATAGACAATGCAAGTAATACAATGTACCTAGACCATGCAGGTATACAAACAATGGTAAACAGTAAGGCAATTCAACCAAAGATAGCCGAGAGAGAGAGAGAGAGATCAAAATGACTAATATCTCTTACTGAAAGATATATAAGTATATTATTGAAAGAACTATATATCTATATTATTCGAACGCGTCTCGCTAAACTGATTATTAATGTACCTTATCAAAACCGACCTTAATGCCCTGTAGAATACTTTTCCACACACACACACACACACACACACACACACACACAATGCCCTTCGTTCATCAGCTAACAGGGTAGGGGGGTTATTGGTCGAGCAGTGGTTGATTTGTGCATCAAATCTTCCCCAGAAACCTAAAGTGATGTGTGTTGAGTACGGCCTGATGAACTGCTGGTGTGTGTGTGTGTGTGTGTGTGTGTGTGTGTGTGTGTGTGTGTGTGTTACAGGAAGATAAATTGTTTGCCGATGACTCAACTTTTGGGTCTCAGTTTTTTCCCTATTCGTTCAACTTGTATCTCTCTCTCTCTCTCTCTCTCTCTCTCTCTCTCTCTCTCTGAAAATCTATTTCTACCTATGCACATCATTACATATTCTTATATCTATATGTTCATTTGTCTTATCTATCTATCCATCTATCTATCTATCTATCTAGTATGTCGATCTGTCCCCCTATCTGTCTGTCTGTCTCTGTCTGTCTGTCTGTCTATCTGTCTGTCTGTCTGTCTGTCTATCTGTCACCTTTATGCCACAAACTCCTGTAAATAAAGTTGACGTTTAGTTCAGGTAATTTAGCCCCACCTGAGTCCTTTAACTATTTTAGGGAAACACTGTCAAACTTTATTTATAATTCGTGTATTTTATTTGTCTTTTATTTTTGTTTTGAAA